AATTGCACCCCCCCCCCATTCCAGCATATGTAAGGCTGAAAGCCGAGATCTTGGAGAAAGGGTAGAATAGGATCTGAAGGGCTACTACTTCGACACAGACAATTTGGCCCCAAAGGAAAAAACTCATTTCCCTGCTACCTAGTAGAACAAGACAATCCCTTGAAAAAACTGCCCTAGTGTATACAAATTATAAAGGTGGTCTCTCTTCTTTGCACCATCACGAAGGCCTTCCCTATTAGCTATTTTAAGCTGTACATTCCTTGCAAGGAAGAACCTGCCTTGTTGAACTGTTAATGTTTTACCGTTTGTCTCCCGGCTTTATGGACCAGAGGATGGAAGAGGGACACCCCACCGAGTCTGGAAAAGCTGGTAGAACTCGCAGGAGAGTCCTACCTCTGAAACTAACGCAAAACTAAAAGAAAAGGAAAAAAATAAAGACGACAAAAATGTGGCATCTTAAAGACGAACTGCCATATTTTAATGCAAGGTTTTGTGGACAAAAGGTGCCATTGTTTTGTCTTCTTTATTTTTACATTTTTCTCTCGTTTTAGCCTGAGATGCTAGCACAGTCTAATCGACTACCTTTTCTAACATTACACAGAAGTTTAAAAGTCTCCTGGCCAGATGCAAACTCTATAGCCCGGTATCTCGCCTATACTGGGGCAACTTAAAGTTATGCCAGTGCAGATGTGCTGAGTGTTGCACCTGGCGAGAAAGATTTACACTATGGAATCATGCAATTAGTTGTGTGACCCCAGGAAAACCAACTGCAAGTACACTGGCAGAAAATACTTTCACCTGAGCACCCGCACAACCACCGTGCACACAACCTTGAGTGGCACACGCATAGCTGCACAACAGATTTTTGGCCACAGGATGTTACAGGTGCCACCAAAGCAAGATTGCTACTCTTTCTATCAACATAATTGTGGATAATCTAGACAAGATTTGTAACCATGTAACATGTAACACAGTCAAGATACATTTGTGTGTGTTCTCCTGGACAGACAGACAGAGAGAGAGAGAGAGAGAGAGAGAGAGAGAGAGAGAGAGAGAAATAGGAGCAAATCCACACACTTGTGATGACCCAAAGCGTCTCCAGCCATTTTTACAATTCTCTCTATGCATCTGGAATAATAACCGACGCTAAATCTATTTCCTGCTAATATATGCCGCACCCTGCATTATATCAACAATTTCTCCCCCCATTTCTATCCTTCCTTCTAAAGCAAGTTGAAATTAAGAGTTTTACTGAAATGGCAGCGGTCAATCTATCAAATTAGCATCAGATTAAAAGTGAATGTGAAAATATAAAACTGAACACTAAGTTAGTACAAGGAAGAGATGAGCATGATGGGAAGGAGAGCAGCTATTTTTGCCTTGCTGCACCCGTTAAAAGAAGGTGATCAGAATATTTTCTAAAATATATATACTTATAGTTGCACATGAGTAGGTATCAGGACTCTGTGAGATCTCCCAGGAATTAATGTAACACAGATACTGTATCCTGTAGCTTTATTCCTCCACTGAAACAATGAACACTTACAATTTTCACATGAAATGAAACTGTTGTCTAATTCACTGTTTTAAGAAACAAGCAAACTGATTTCATTATAAATCTGTCTGATTCTAGTATCAGATTAGTAAAGTGTTTCTCCAAGTTCATTCAGAAAGCTAATCCCTAAAGCCTGCTGTTGTTTGGTGCTGGAAAGTCGGAACTGATTTACAGCAACCCTAAGAGGGCTTTCAAGCAAGTGGAATATTTAAGGAGTGGTTTTACTAGCTGGATAAGGTCAGTGAGTTAAGTATCTGGCTGCAGAGTTGGAGGTTCCGATTCCCCACTAGGCCTCCCAGGAGAAGAGCCAGCCTATGTGGCCTTGGGCCAGCTGCACAATCCCAAAATGCCCCCAGAAGAAGGGAAGGGTAAAGCAATTCCGAATATTTTGTATCTAAAATGCCCCCAGAAGAAGGGAAGGGTAAAGCGATTCCGAATATTTTGTATCCAGAAAACCCTGAAAAGATTTGTCATAAGTCAGAAATGACTTGACGGCACATTACAGTATCATTACTGCTATATTAAACATTATATTTGATATTTTAGAATTACCCAATAATATCTGAGCTGGGAGAAGAGGAATCGTTATTTCAAGAGATGGACAGTTTTAAGAAAATTATTTCTTAATTCCATGGTGGAGTGGGGATTTGAACCCTAGCCTCCCGATTCCTCGTCTGTCACTCTACCCACTACACACCACACTGCGTATCTAATTCGAAACACCTTATTTATATTTGAGATTAGTACAGTAAGTGTTACTTTAGTAACAGAAAGCTGCTTATTGAAAGAAAAAAATATGGGTTTGGGATACTGGCTGCCACATGTCAGAAGTTGGCATTCTCAGAACAAAATCATGCATTTTCTGTATGTGAGAGAACCTGATTTCTTGAATAAAGGAAGGGTAATACATTTAGATTTTTTCCTATTTTAAATTTTAACTCTTTCAAATACCTTTTCTCACGTGTGTTGCAGGTGTAGTTTTGAACCATGTTATTATACTCCCCTGATGCCTAGATAATTTTGTTTACCAGTTTAATTAACATAGGGAATGGGTGGGACTCCCCATGGATAACCACATTAAAGCTCGTCTGCAAATTGATACTGATTTTCCCTTGGCATCTTCAGAGGGCGGTGCCTTCCTCCAGGCAAATCAAAATATAACGGATTTCAAGCTACAATAGTTTGGAAACCCATCAAAAGACTTTTACCCATTGCTCAATTCTGTTCTGACACATAAACTCAAAAATCTTATTCACTGTGCCAATCTTAAATATTAGCAATATCTTTTGGGACTAATTCCAATGAAATAAAAGGGAACTATGTGATCAATACAAAATACCAATGCAAGGTCATCTGCCTGCTCACCCAGATCCTCCCAGGGAATGCTCCTCCAACTGCCCACTCTGAAGGAGGCCCGGGCGTCATCTAAGAGAGATTGGGCCTTCTTTGCGGTGGGACCAACTCTCTGGAACCAGCTCCCAGTGGGGCAGCGCCAGGCTCCTTCCCTCCTCAGTTTTACAAGGCCCAAAGATTCAACGATTCTGAGGAGCTATGTTGCTCTAGTTGTGGAGAAGCTGCCCTATTTGTCCCACACCATTGTTCGTGGCTCTTCCCACCCTGGCTGCAACAGCAAAGTTTTGTTTGATCTTTCTGATCCTTATGAGAAAGGCTGCTATGCTTGTTTTTGTGTGTGTGTGTGTGTCAGAAGCATTACAGTACAATTAATAAATACAGTCGTGCCCCGCTTAACGATTACCCCGTATAACGACCAATCCGCTTCACGACGATGTTTTGTGATCACAATGTTTTAATGGGTTTTTTTCACTTTGCGACGATCAGTTCCCTGCTTCGGGAATAGGCTAATTGGATCAGTGGGGAACTTAATGAATTAACTCTTCCATGAATTCCATTTAACTACTCTACTTGCAACTTACTACATTGAAGTAAGTCACAACTGAAGTAGTCCCATCTGAATCAGTGAAACTCCCAGAGTTGATTCATTCAGTCCCCAATGACTCAATGGGAGTATTCTAGCATCCCTTACTATACTAAGCAACAGGATTTCAGCCTGTAAGAATTACTGGGATATCAGTCTTAATTTGCGCAATAGTTCCTAAGAAATCCAGAGCTGTAACCACTTGCTGAGTCATCCAAGCAGAACAACAGACACCACCAGTTAACCAGGCTTTCTAGAAATGCGCTACAGGTGTGCGCGCACACACCATTGCTCTAATTCAACAAAACCACAAGGTTTATCATTAGAAAGGATAGTCAGCACTTATATTTGGCACAGTTGTAGCAAGGCAGTATAAGTATTATAGAATTAACTCCTATAAGTCACCACACCAAAGTTCAGCAGATGTGACTTCACAGAAACTAACAGCGCAAGCTTCCAATCGGGAAATAAAAATACTTTTAGGGATGGAAAAAGAGGTAACCAAAACCAAAACAACAGGAAACGGAAAACAAAAACTTACAAGTCTTTGTTCTGTTTCATCCTATGAATGTCTTTAAGAATGCCCATCATATCTGCAAAACTGCTGGCCTTTGACAGAGAGACTGAATCTTCGTCGTCCGAATCCTTTGAGTCTGCTTTACAACATTCAGAGGTTGCAGAACAAAGCATGGAAACAGATGGAAGCTCTGGGCTTTCTAATTCTGCCTCCTCCTCTGTAATATCACTAATGACAAAGGAAGTTGTAGACTGGAATGAGGATCCAAAACAAGGTAAGGGAGAAGAGACATTTGAACTTCCTGGAGATAATAAATCGGGTGTTAATGAAGAGGAAGCTGAAAGAGAGAACAATATATATATAGACATGAACCTAGTGCCAAACTATTGGTTTTTTATTCTGTGCAACAGAACACTGGCCGAGACAAGCCAGACCCACAAAAAGACATGAGAGGACCTTCTCTCCTTCTGTGTCAGAGAGACCACAAGCTGGTTCAGATAAAACACTAAACCATAACTGAGTATTGTGAGCATAAGCCACAGCAAGCCTCATGCTCCTGTGCTCTCCTTCCTCCCCTTCTGCATGTCTGAAGAAGGATTCCAAACCTTCCCCTATTAACTTAAATTAAACAAACATTTCCGTTGTGCTCGTTCACACAGTCCAGGATTAACCCATGGTTGGTTTGAACACATGCATGTCCATTGTGCCTGTTTAAAGAATCCAGGATCAGCCAACGGTTGGTTTATGAATCTAGATTGCCTGTGAACCATAATTTAAAACTACCCAGAATTCCCCAAGATCTGATATGGCCAAGAAGGCAACTTAAAACTGCAATAGGGAAGGGAGGGTTGTGTGGGCCTAAGATTTGCCATGGCTTGTGTAAATTATGCTAAATTAAGGTTTAGGGTTACGACCACATCAGTACTTCTCTGCTCATCTTCAAAGACATGGGCCAGAATCCTACTGTTGATTTATGACCGTATAACGAAAATCACGTACATCTTGGTGGCAAATTCCTGCTCCTTAACCAAGTGTTGCTTTTATTCCTGGGGATATGCAAGCATAAATTGGCAATTCTGATCATGATGGCGCATACAGGATCATGATCTGATACAGGTATTACATTATGAGGGTACAGGATGTAGCCATACCAGGTAGAAGGCAGTGGTACAAAGCATTGAACAATTTGGGATGCTTCGATGCCAGGAGACAGCTGGCATGTAAGGTTACATCAGCCACTCCAAAATCCAGGCAGAAAGATTAAAGAAGAATGAATAAGGCTAACAAAAGCAAGGGCAAGTGAGATGCCCACATAATGTGTACAACTTTTGCAGTGAAAAGTGCTGAGCACTGGGAAAGGAAGAATACAACTGGTAAGGTCTATTTTGAAAGGTAAGCCATCTAGGTTTAAAAAACGGGGTCCTCTCTATGGGTTCTAGAAGTTCTTGCTGTCCTCAGAACAGACGGCAACACTTTTGTGCGTCCCCAGGTAACCCTTAGAAGCTCTTCTTCAGATGTCTCCTCTCCAAGCCTGCCACCAAGTGTTCAATCCAGACACCCAACCGTTCCACTGATCGGCAGCAGCTCAGAGAAGGTGTGTCAGACCCTCTCCACAAAGTGAAATGAATCTTCTCCCCATTTCTTCTCCAAATATTCCTTCTATCCATAGAAAAGCAAAACTCTAGCTTTCAAGTGACTTGCTCGCCCATCATAGCTACTCTGGGAGACATTATTTTTACGTATACTCCAACAGCACCAGAATTTACAACACGGCCTGACAGTGTTTGGATGTTGGATGCTTACCTGAATCTGAAGTTACAATCTTAGCTATCTGACTCCGAAGGTGACTCAGTTCCTCCTGGAGTTCGGTAGTCCGACTCAAAGCGGGTAACCCTGGTTTCTTCAAAGCCAACAGCTTTTCCTCTTGCTTCCTCAAATTTGGGACAGACGCATTCCGCTGAATAACGAAGAGTGGGGTGGGTTTCCATTTGTGCTTTAGGGGACGCGTATCCGTCCTGCAAGTCAAGAAGCCAGAAATTCAAATAAAATTGGTCTTAGTGAGTAAAAAGGGACCTGCAGTCATACAATGATGGCTGATCATCTCCATTTTTTTTTGTCCCGGTGAAAGGAAGCCCCTTTTGGCTGCACACTCATTTCTTCCTCTGCTCTTTCTTTCTGAAAAATATACTGTATTTATCTCACAGAGTATGCAATGTAAGTTCCTTTTCTGGGGAGCATATGGTCCTCTTCTGAAACAGCATTACAGCAAACGTCCTGTGGCTAGACTGGAATGTACCGAAAACATAATTCAATACATATGAGAGAAAAAAGGATAAAAGATGTACCTGACTCTAGCGTATGTCTCTTCATCGTCTGAAGCTATCCATGCAACATCTGCCAGAGTGGGGACAGGAGGTGTGTCATTTAAATAGAGATCTGAAACATTTGGTAGGGCCTGGACAGAGAATGAAATGACCATTATTATATTGAGAGACCTTTTACCTCCGAAAAACAACATTGGAGGCAGAAGGTATAGGGAAGGTTGCTTATTTTGCTAGCAAAGAGAACAGACTCCCACGCAAAGGTGTAAGGGTGGGACAAAATGTAACAGCTTAGTAGTAGGTTTTTAATAGAAAAACAAAGGCCAATAACAGGTGTATAAAGACAGGCTTCTTTCATGTCAGCATTGCTCAGGAGGTAACTTAACATGAGACATTTCTTAGCTATTGGGATATCAACCCAGACTGCGATGAGCTTTCTTTTTCTGTTCCCAAGACCAGAAAGTAACAGGACAGTGTTCATTAAATGATCTGCTTGCAACAAAGAAAATATGGAGCCCGTGTTTTGGGCGGATTATTATGCTTTTTCATGTGTTGGGCTTACAGGTTTTCAATAAGACATTGGGTCTACATTGATACGCTACCTATATTCATTGTTTTAATAATAAGTATGTTAATCCTGACCAGCCCTTATCAGTATGGCTGATAGTCAAGGAGGATGGGAGAGATATGCCAACATTTGTGGAGCCATAGGTTCCTCAATAGACTAGACAAACCTTAACCCAGAGGTCGTCAACCCCCCGGTACGTGGCCCGCTGATGGTCCATGGGCTTGCTGGAACTGGGCCATGGATATGGATCTCCACCCTTTCCCGCAGGCATGACATGCCCCACACAGATGGAGCTCGCTCCCCCCAGCTGGTCTGCGGCCCCAAAAAGGTTGGGGACTGCTGCCTTAAACCAAATGCAAGCAGTAACGTATGACAGAAGAGAAATAATTTAACATCTGTGTGCTGTACATGTACAGAACTGGGGGGGGGGAATCACTCATGACCACAATAGTCCACTAGGTCTATTCTTAGCTCCAAGAGCTGGAGAAGCTTAGGAAACTCCCAGCAACTAACACTTCGTGTTATCTGAAATGACCAACACATTCCAGTATAGTTAAGATACCGTTAGAAGGCAAATGTAGTTCTTCTACACAGAATTTTGACAGACTCGATCCTGTATCGATCAAAAGCAATCAGATTTAATCTCAAAGCGAGGCTGATATTGAGCATTTACCTGAAAGCATGCTCTCGGACACGGCTTTAAAGGAAGATTGGTCCCAATTATTCTCACAAAGCTGCGTGATGAACCGTAAGGCTTGTTCTGCCAAATTGGGATGGTCTGAGAATCAACAAAATAGGTAATGAAAGTCGGTATGTGGTGGTGGTGGTGATAACAGCAGCAGGAACAGTAGTTTTAAAGATTGCTTCCCTGTTTTTATGTAACAGACACTGAATTACTGAAGACTAGAGAAAAAAAATAGGCACAGAAGAATGATGGGCATTCATGGCAGAGTTTACTGATGTCACAGAATGGTAGGGGAGGGACATACAAACCTCATCACCAACACAGTGGAAGGAGAGAGACCAAGAGGACCCTGATGGATTTTGACAGGAGAGCTCTCTTTATTCAACAGCTGACCCAAGCCTTTCGGGGTCACGGTATATAGCTGAGGGAAAAGCAGCAGGGCTGTAATGGCCTCACTGCCATTTATGCAAACAGGCAGGCAGATCCCTATCCTGATTCCACTACGTCCTACCATAAATTGATAGGAAGACCTATTTCTGTATGCAGATCACGGCAAATCAATGCCGAGTACTTTGGGGAGCTGAAGAATACAAAGCATGCAATTACGGATAATAATTTTTAGATGTCAACCTTGACATAATCCAGGAAGGTAAGGAACACCATCATTTCGGGTCCATGTTCGCCTTCCTGTAGGGGCTGAAGCCATTTTGTTGAAAGCGACAGGACTTTCCGTAGCAATCCGTTAAAAAATTTCTAAACAGCTGGTAGATATCACAACCCACCCTGGGATCTCAGCCAGCTATCGGTTTGCCCTCTGTCCTTTTAAATGTTTCTTTTGCACGCCGTTGACTGCTATTGAAAGGCTACAGAACTTGTATTTTTTTTTAAAAAAAAATCTTCAGATTTAATTTAGTGAAAATTCAATTTGCTGTTTCCAGCTCTGTACTTGAGCACATACATTCAAAATGCAATGAAGCCGAACAGAATAATGGAACCAGAAAAGAAAAAAAAGAAAAAAAAGATTTAGAATTTGAATTCCCCACACATCCACCTTCTCTGTCACACTTACTGTTTTCTATCTGCAAGCACAGCAACTGATATGGTTTTTTTTTTACCTGCTAGAATATGAACTGTTCAAGATGTGAGGCGCAGGGGGTGTGAAGGAGGGAAGTAAAAGACTTTACCGTCAGGTACAAAGGAGGGACAGACCCTCATGTGAATCAAAAAGAGAACGACCTCCACCCTACAAAGAGCAGTAATTCCTCTGGTTGCATAAACCAGGGTCTTGGGTTCCATTATTGTACTGCTCTAACAGTTAAGAAGTTTTTCCTGATATTCAGCCTAAAACAGGCTTCCTGCAGCTTGGGCCCATTATTAGGTGTCCTGTACTCACATCTATCCTAAACTGAACAGAAGAACAAGATTTTATGTAGGCAGCTTCAAAAATTACTTAAGCAATGTAAGACATTAAATCTTACTACTCCTGAATGAATGAATGAATGAATGAATGAATGAATGAATGAATGAATGAATGAATGAATGAATGAATAAATAAATAAATAAATAAATAAAAAAATTTAAGGATTATTGCACACTCTCTGAAGCAGCAGTTCTGGAAGACTGAGACATATTCTCCACAAGAGGAATATTCTCAAAATGAACATTAGGTTTTGTGTAAAAAAATAAAATAAAATACAGAATTTAATTTCTATAGATTTTTAACATCTTAAGCAGCTCGATACTTACCGAATCTGCTTCCATTTCAGAAGGAACGAGAGGTAGTCATAAATCAAAGGCCGAAGCTTAACTCCACGAACTAAACACTAGCTTCATATTATTTCACCCTTGAAAAAAATTATTTGCTCATTATGAATGAATTATAAATGCAGCCATCCAACATTTATTTCCTTAAAGGGAATAAGCAGCCATACAAAGAATCCCAATTACCCTTTTAAACTGTCACTTAATCTTATTCCACCATGAGATTAGCTTAGAAAATTCAAGGCTAGAAGGAATACCATTAATTACGTGAAGCAAGAAAGACAGAAACTGCAGCACAAGGCAGAATCTGCTCTGAGGTAAGCATTTATACATCTCTTTAAAATCTAATGGAAAAGATCTCACACATTGCCCTCGGAATTTGCACCACTCCCCAAATACCATGACAGTTCACAGACTATGGAAAGAGGAGGCCAACTGTGAGCCTCATGCTCCTCTTTCCCCCACCCTAACTAAGGGGTGCAGGTGACCAAGATGTTTCAAAAGGCACTTTCCACCAAGATGGGGCTTAAGGAAAACCCAGGATACGTGGTCCAGAGCTGAGGATCAAGAATGGAACCAAGGCTTCTGAGCCACCAGCTCTGCCACAAAGGCTGCAATATTTCAAGATTCTCTCCCAGCCTCCCAAATTTGATTTTCTCTTTTGTAAGTAACCTGACAGGCTTTAATAACCTGTCAAAGAAAGGAGCCCCGGGGCAAAATTCTGGCATTTTTATTGTCTGACTATATTAGATTTGGATGGTGGCAGCTAATTTCCTTTGAACGGAGACACCGGATGAAAAGAAAGAAGGCTTTTTTCCTCTGGAAATTTAATCTTCATGTTCCATTTCAACTTAAAAGATTCCACATCACCTCCCCCCACCTCTCAACACACAAAGGAAAGGGCAAGGGTTGATATAGAAATAAAAATCTTCAGGGCCCATTCATCCCTTCATCTACACATGAGACTCACAGAACAAACAGAAGGGGCTCAGCTACACTTCATAATAAAGGCTGCATTCAATGCAGCTTTATGCAGGGCAGATGAGAAGCAGTCCAAAACTTTAATGTTATTCCAGCCTTGGTCTGTCCTGGGGAAAGAAATAACAAAAACACACATTTAGTTAAAAGAATTAAAACCACAGCTTATCTATGGGAAATAAACTGTTTTTAAATCAGGATGGATTTGTTTTACATCAAATTGATTTAAATCATGGTGTATTTTTTTAAAAAAATTAGTTTCTTAATGATTTAAATCAAAATAATTGTTTTTTATTCAAATCATTATTTAAATCAAATTTTCTTTTTAAAAAGCATTGATTTTTATCCATCCTGTTTTTAATGAATCTCAGCAATCCAATTTTTTTTAGAACTCCCTCCCTTTTGGGTGCTTGGTTTCATGATGTGCAGTGGTAGTTCAGAACATTAGCCAGAAGAGAAAAACAGAGTTCTGACCAGCATAAACACACGGTACAGAGTTCCTGGAACAAACCAGTTGTACCAGAACCTGGATATTTATCTTTTGTGTTTTGAAAACAGAATCCCGCTTCCTAAGCTAATTTCTTCTCCTGAGCTATAGAATGATCATTGTATGCTGCATAACTCACAATTCTTGCTGTAAGCAGTTAAAAGAAAAGCAATATTTGCCTGAAAGGGGAAAAAAAGCTACATTCTTATTAATGCATGATTTTCATTAGGCATTATTTGGGGTGGCAGGAGGTGTCTCTGACATGCCACCCAAATATGGTTCTCCATCCTTGTTCTACTAGGCCAGCAATGGAGTACCTATGGCATGTGTGAGCTGGCACGCAAGCCATAAATTGCTGGATCGCTCCCCCAGCAGCCTCTGTCCACTGATATCATCACAAACAAGCCATAAATTGCTGGATCGCTACCCCCAGCAGCCTCTGTCCACTGGTATCATCACAAGTAACAATGGACATGATTTTAAAACGTAGCCAACGTTGCACAGGGTTTGCATAGCTTCTGGGTTTATGTAAAGACGTACTTTGAAAAAACCAACCACCAGATCCAGACCCCAAGGCAGAATTGGTAGTTTTCGATTCAGGAAAACCATTACCTCCCCGATGGATAGCATGCATGAAAATTGTAAAGCATCTGGACTTCAATGTTTTCTGGACTGCCAGAAAAACAAACAAGGTAGTGCTAGATCAAATTAAGAATGAAAATTACTAAATCGCAGAATTGTACTTTGGGCATATAATGAGAAGGTAAGACTCACTGGAAAAGAAAATAATGCTTAGAAAAGCAGAAGCATCAGGAAAAGAGGAAGCTCAAATAAGAGATGGATTGACTCAATAAAGGAAGCTACAGCATTGAGTATGCAAGACCTTAAGAGATGGATTGACTTAATAAAGGAAGCTACAGCATTGAGTATTGCAAGACCAGGGCTGTTAATAACAGGATCTAATTCATGGGACTGTTGTAGCTGGAAGTGATTTGGCTACACGTAACAAAAAAAAGTTTCAAAGCAAATACTGTAACTGCATACCTAAAAGTGCAGTACTGTATTAACATAAAAATTAGAAGAGCTCCTAACTGAAGGTGTGCATTTAAAAGGAAAAGGCATTAAACAGAGGAAAGGAAAGAAAGTTCCACCATGAAAAACTAGACTGAACTGATAGGTCCTGAGATTCTTCTTCTAATTTTCCTTATATTATTTTCTTTATTTTATTGTGATGGTAATTGTAATTGTATTTCACGTCTACGCACATTTTTGTATTTTAATTGTATTGTATTCTTATTTTATATTGGAAGCCGCCTAGAGTGGTCTGGTAGTCCAGATAGGCGGGGCATAAATCAAATAAATAAATAAATAAATAAATAAATAAATAAATAAATAAATAACAACAACAACCCATCTAAATGTAAAAAACAAGGGGTAAAGACTGGACTGTGAAGGACAATGGGAGAGAAGCAAGCACAGAAAAGAGAATAACCCTATTTGTAGGTACAGCAGAAGAGCAGAACTTGTAGTACTCAGTTAGGTTTCAGTAAGACCTTCCAGGAGGTCCAAGGACATCCTGCATTTCTCTAGCCCAGCTGTTGCGACCTCTACTAGAAAGAAGTCAACTCAAAGTTATTCCACAATGACAACAAGTCCGACAACAAGCTTTGGACGTTGAGCCTACGGTTGCCTCCTCTACATTAAGCCAAAGTCAACATTTGCCATTAATCAGATCAGGGAGCAGCCAACCAAGAATAACTATGCATGACAGCAAAGGGTTCTTTGGCAAGTCACTCAGCCAGAGGCACATATGGAGTTGTTGCTTATCTATCTTCGGCCGTTTAGAGGGAGCCCAGGCACAGCTTGCAGCCCAGGAAAGGAAAAGGGCAGACAAAGAGGGATCCCACAAGGTCAGCAGCAGAAACAGCAGATCAGAGATTAAAATCTATTGCTCAGGACAACTCAGCTGTATTCTCAGCTGAAGAGAAATAATAAGGCACTGATATTTGACTCCGCTTACATTGAGGAGTACAAAATAAGTATGCATGTGTGTTTCTGTAGGCACATGCAAGCGTCGTCTTGGCTCTGAGGACCCTCTAAGTCTGTGGTTATTGAAACAGAGGCTGAAATCCTACTGAGTAGCAACACTTGACATATGCAAGTTGTAGTTGTCATTGCACCAAGACAGGAGTCCTATTCATGAAGCACTTCTGCAGGCACACTGTCTTGTGGCAGGAACAGCATGACGGATTACACAACCAAATTGCAATCCTGGGTGTCATGCCTGGCATATTTATGACAGTGTAACTTTATGTGACATGAAGATAAAGAGGATGACAGCCAGTAAAAAGGTCCAGGGATGCTTTAACTGTGGTCTTTTTGCTTCAGTAAGGGGCTGGTCTTCATTACCCTTGAAGCTCCTTTTTGGTTCTACTCTTTCATGATCCCGTTCTATAGTAAACTTGCTAAAAAAGACGATAATGCTAGGAAAAGTTGCAGGCAGCAAGAGAAGAGGAAGACCAAGTTTAAGACGGGTTGACTTAATAAAGGAAGCCATGGTCTCGAGTTTTCAAGAGCTGAACAGGATTGCTGATGACAGGACATTCCGGAGGTGGCTCATTCATAGAGTTGCTATGGGTCGGAGGGAACCGGGCAGCACATAACAAAAGCAACAACAACAACAGGCTATAACTGTATACCTGTCATTCTATCTAATGTTACCCACTCATGTAACTCATCTCATTAGGAAAGATATAGGAGAACGGTCTCTGAATGAAGCCATAAGAGAATTTCAAGTGCCTTGAAAAATTAAAATGCCATATTGGAGGCATATTATGGCAGGTAAGAGACAACATCTCAACGCTGATTGCCCTCTTTTTTTCAGAAAAAAAAGATATTATCACAAAAGAAAAGATGCAACCCATGCTACAACTGTGTGATAGAGAACCACAGAAGTACCACTACTGCCAGGAAGCACAATCGCATCCCTGAGCCTTACGCTGAAGGGCAAACCATGGCAGGCAGGAGACATCAATTCTAATCTATCCCTAAAGAAGTGGATTTTGATCCATGAAAGCTTAGATTGAAAAAAAAATAAGTTAGTCTTTCAGGGCCCCAACATAATGTATTCTGTAGCTGCATGGAACAAGTCTGCCTGTTGTTTTAGAGATAACTGGAGGTTGGGGGGGGGAGGAACAGAGAGGCAGAAATGTGTCCCAAGTATAAACAGTATGAGAGCCATTGTTAATGCTGTGAAAACGTTTCTCCACATGTGAATAATGCCATGGAAGGGAAGGGAGATACAATCACAGCTTGTCTCCACATTTATTTGTAACCAAAGGCCACTGGGTGTTATGGGAGTTTCTTCCAAGTAAAAAGGCACTGAGGGTCAGGTGGGTGGCATCAACCAACAGACTGCTTCTTACAAGAAAATAGAGGGTAGAAGAAATATAAAAATAAACATGTTGACACCAAAAGAAAAGCAGTCTTTTAAAACACTAAAGACTGGTGACATATTATCATCAGCAGATTCCTGCCCTCACTCCGCTCAACAAACGTAACACAAATAAACAAGTCACTGCCCATTTATATGATCCCTCCCATTATGACAGCAGTGGCCAACTATGATCCCTCTGGCATTTTTGGCCTATAACTCCCACCATCCCTGACCAGTTACATACAAAGCTGATATATTATGGAAGTTACACTCCAAAAATATCTGATGAGCCACAACTGCCCTCCATTGTATTACTACAAGAAACCATGTCTTCTCTGGTATACCAGTGAATGACATAAAGCGAAGGTTGCAAAGTACCCAACGGCACCCTAAAGACCAAAATATACATTATTAATGGCACTGAGCATGCAAACAATTTACCAAGGGGTAAATCCGACTGACTCGAGGGATGCTCACTTTTTCTTTTTGCCTTTGTTAAAAGCCAACAAAGGTATCAGTCTTACACAGAGCTTGGAAATAATGTGTTGGTTTTAATTAAATTCAATTCGCTGACTTTCACTTAGTGAAAGCATAAAAGCAGTAATTTAATATTTTAGCATAATTTATCATTTTCAACGCAAGCTTTAAAAGGTTTTCTTAAGATCACCACCGCAGTACAGCGGAGAAGGATTCAGAAAGAGATCTGATTCAGCTCTCTGCTTGGTTGTGGAGACATCACATATTTCTGAAATCCTCTGAGGGTTGTTGTAAGTTGGAAGCAACTAGACAGCACACAACAACAAATACTAATTAAAAAGGAGAAATTGACTCATTCCAGTCCAGCACTCAGAAAAATCGAAGAGCACTTAAGATTGAAAAACTGCTATGCAAGCTCCTACCTTATACAGTACATATAAACTAGCTGGAGTATGTTCAATGATATTCAATGGGACTTCTTTGTAAATATGGCTAAGTTTGTATTGCCAGGGCCCATGCCCTGATTAGACATGGCATTTTTCCAACAGTTTAAAAATATTATTCTAGAAAATATAAACAAAACAACTTTTAAAAATAAATGCACAAGATGGCTCTTATAACAGGGGTAGACAAGTGTGGGTCTCCGGATTGTTTTTAGCCTGCAACTCTCATAATTCCTGGTTAAAAGCATCCCGTGTGTGAAGG